TGTGTGTGACACACACACACACGCACGCACGCACGCACGCACGCAGGTTGGATACATCACCCATTTGCCCAGGTGAAATCAACACCAATATAATAACCCCAGGGTACCATGCAGACAGGTAAGCAGCTATCCAGGGGTAGCTGTCCACATTAGGCCCCTGTTACTGAACCTCACCACTAAGGGGCAGATGAAAAACACACGTATGCTGGGGAGTTTCCCAGGGATGGACAAGGAGAAATGGGGCCAAGGCTGGGGTAAGTACTATGGGAGGTTTTTCTTCTGATTTTCCCCTGGGGTAATTCCACATGGATTCAAGCAAGTTAAGCCAGTGTCTTCCATGAGTCTACTCCTATTTTACATAACTGTGAAGGTGGATTATGTGGGTGTAAACCTATTGTAAGTCCAAGCCTGCACCAACACATACACACACATGCACCAGTGCAAGCAGCTGGGTGAGACAGCTTGCTGGAAGGCAAGCAGTCCTGGGTCTTGAGCAGGGAGAGGAAGCAGCTGTGAATGGAGCTCATGCTGTGCAGGGATGGGGAGGGCACGGGCGGGCGGTTGTGGGGTAGGAACAGGGCTGGGTTTGCGTAAGCCAGAGGGAGACCAGATGTGCTCCCAGCTGTTGCTTGTGCAGCAGCTACTGTGCGCCTGACGGTGTGTGGTCCGCAGAAGCCGTTACCCCGCGGACAGCTGGAGAGACCGAGTCGGCTGTGCTCTGTGTCTGTGTGTGTCCATCACCCCGTGATGGTCACCAGCGGAGATGCCCTGTGCTGGGTAGTCCTGTTCAGAGACAGAATGCTTGACCCACCCCCAAGAATCATTCTGCTCTGGGGGTCTCGGGACTTGGAGCTCTGCATTGACCCCGCTGGGAAAATCTCCCGGTGTATTCCCTTCTGGTCTGGAGTAGAGAGAGCAAAGAGACAGGGAGGTCTCCTAGGGGCTGATTACCCCTCACATGCACTCAGAAGCCTAACGACAGGCTCCTGACACTGCATGGCTTCAGGACCCCCAAGTCCATTCCTAGAGGAATAGTGCATGCAGACTCTGAACCTGCACATCACAGCATGCACACATGAACACAGGTGCGCACGCACTGGGCAGACGCATGTGCCTGCATGTGTACAGAAATGATCATGCAAGCCTGCACAAGACCCCATACACATGGACATGCGCTGCTGGCTGGTGGCTGCCTCCATTTCACTCCCACCCCCCAGGTAGAAGAGCTGGAGGGGGGCGGGGGAGTCCTCTGGGGATATTAAAACCATAATCCTGGTCAGAGGAGATCTTGTGACATTTCAACCCCTAATGAAGTAAAGCCCTTGTATCAGCTAGGGCAGTTAACAACAATTGCCCCTGGGCAAACTGAGGTAGGGGACAGCAAAGTGACTTCCCCCAAGTGACAGGGCTGGGAACAAACCCCAGGTTCCTTGAGTGCCCAGTCTGTGCCCCCTCTCTGAGGCTGCCCTACCTCCTCTTCCTAGGTAGGGGCCTTACTACTAAACGTCCCTGCTTTCTGCTGCACATCCCTAACCCCAGATCCCTATGGCTTGTTTTGGGGGGAGGTTCATCCAAGAAAAGAAAAGATTTTATTATGGGTTTTTTTTTGCAGGACATTATAACACAGCAGCAACTTTCCGAGGGTTCCCAGGCAAGATTGCTGGCATCCTCTCGCTGGCTGGAGGCAGGATGGGGCCATGGCAGAGACAGTCTGAACAGAGACTGGCTTCAGAGGCCTCTGGTTTGTTTGTGGGGCTTTGGTGGTTAAGCCCGGGGCCGGTTCGGCCCCTGACTCTCTGTGTGGCCTCGGTCTGCCTGGGCCGAAGTTTCCTTGTTTGGGAAACAGCCATAATAAGCCTCTCCTTCCTCCCAGTGGAGCCAGGATGAATTACGGGGGGAGGAAGGGGAGGGGGGGATTTATCACAGTGGGTGCCAGAGACAGTTTTTCCCAGCAGGGGGTGCTGTGGGGATGGGGGCAGGAAAGCTGGATTGCGGGGCAGCTCCCAGCTACCCCTACCCCAGCAGGGGCCACTGTGGGCAGCAGGGCAGGAGTGCCAGCTGGGGAGGCAGATCCAGGCTACTCTAGTCCCAGCCTCTCCCAGCAGGGGGTGCTGTCACACCAAGGATGCCCGTGCCCAGCATTGGCACCGCGGTGGCATGGCTTGAGCTCCCCAGGGCAGCAGCGTCCGTCCGTCAGGCCCTGGGACGGCTCGGTCAGGTCTCCCGGGACCTGCTCTGTCAGGCTCTGCCGGGTCAGCCTGGGCTGGGCGCCTCTAGCGCTGAGGGATGACCGCGGGGCCAGCTGGCGTGGCCACGGCGTTGGCAGGGATCGCCATCCCTTCTGCTGGGACAAAGCCCCATTGTGCGCTTGCGAAAGCCCCGCGGACAGAAGCCCTTTGTTCGGAGGGGACTCGGGGCTGGGAGCTCCAGCGGCGACGATTTCTCGAACAACAACGCGGGGGCTTTGTGATTGTTAGCTCAGTCCCTGGAGTCCTGGCAGGGGATGGAGGGAGGGTGTCACCGGTTCCCTCTCTCCCCTGCCAGGCTCAGCCGCTTGGTGACCTCTTCGGCTGGCCCCTCTCTGCCCTTGGAAGGTCACGGCCTGAGATGCCCCCAGCAGACCCCTGGCTAGAGAGGGTCATTCCTGACCTTCACCTTCCAGCCTTGCTGTGCCCGAGCCCTTCCCAGCTTCCCAGGTCTGTGGGCCACTTGCGCTGTGTGCAAGACAGGTCAGCTGGTGGATGCAGTAGGCACCGAAGCTAAGAGGGCACCCAGGACTCCTGGGCTCTGCAGGGTGACCTCAGGCAAGTCCTGTTGCCACCTTGTGCCTCACTTTCCCTTCTCATCCTTTGCATTTGAGCAAGCAGGAACAGGGGTCCTCAGGCCGTTTCTCAGGTCAGCTGGGGTCTGTGGCTGGGCCCTAGGGACCTGCTGAGCCCTCCTGGCTTCTGGCAGCTGGTTTTATCAGGCGTGCTCTGACTCCATGCAACTCTGCTCACCGAGGGCTGCTCTCTTCCTGCCTCACATGGGGCTTCCATGACCCTCAACCAGCTCCAGGCCCATGGCATTGCTCTGGGGGTGAGCATAGTTATCCTGGCCAAACCAGGCTTTTCCAGTATTGCCCAAGTCATGCATTAGGAGCAGTTTCATTCCCCTCTTCTTCCTCACACACATTTCTATCAACAGCACTTTGGGTGTCACTTTGTCTTCCCCACCCTCGCCGACAGCGGCTTTGTTAATAAAGAAAAGATAAGGTTTGCAAGGGTTCAACACAGCTCATCGTTTATTAATTAAATTAAACCCAAATCCAAATAATTAAAGAGTTCCAAAACAAGCAGGGTGTGGGGAGGGGGTTCATATTCAGACACCGTCCTGAGCATACTGACGTCCAGAGAGTTGGCGTCCACCGAGGTAACGGCCACCATCCTGGTTGTCCCTCCTGGGGAATTGAACCCATGACTGCCTGGACTAAAAACATGGGCTGCTGAAGAAGTGAGAGCCCCTGGCTGGGACCAGCAGGCAGAGGGGCATCTGTGATAAGGCACTCACGCCAGTTGCTCCATATAGACCCCAGCTGAATGCTGCCACTACATCCTCTGTTACTGGGGAATTTGAGGTGGGAGCTTGTTAAAAGTGGAAGGGATGAAGCTGGGGTGCTTGAAGACGCCAGTGAAGACGCTGGCCCCACATGGACCCTCTCCGGTGAGAGGGAATAGATCCCGCAAACGCAGTACTGCCTTTGGATTTCCTGGCAGGCCAAGGCACCGAAAAAGGAAGGGTGGGGAAACAGAAAGGCCCAGAAGCCACATCCTGCTATTGTCTGGGGTCACGTGAGAAGAGCTGTCAAAGCTAGCACCCTGCGGAGCCGGCCCTTCAAAAGATCCTAACTCACAGCGGCAGAGTAGTTGGAGACCTTAGCCGCTCAAGCACAAGGATCAACACAGCTGAGCTTCATCTCGCCGCCTCCAAACCCTCCAAAATCAGGAGGCTGTCCTACAAAAGATCGTGAGATCATTTTTTCACACCCGCAAGGAGTTTACAGTAGCACCCATGTCACTTCAAGGACTAACACGCTGCAGAAAGGAAGTCTTTGTTCAAATCTGCCTCTCTTACAGGGTTCCAGCTCACCATTAAGACAGCCGGGGATTGTTAGGGGCTAGGTTTTGCACCAGGAATTGTATTTATTGGAATAGAAGCTCAATTAAAAAAAAAAATCCAATATTGCACTAAATGAATGAAAGCTGGAAATGGCAGAAGGATCTAGCCCTGAGCTCTTTGGAAGTTGTTGCTGTGTTTCTGGGAGGACAGCAGGGTCAGGCTGTATTGCAGGGAACAGAAAAGCCAAGAAGCCCCTTCCCTGGGGTATGCAGAATTACAGAGACCTAGGGCTGGAAGGGATGTCCTGAAGCAGGATCATCCCTATCCAAACCAAATATGTTGGGCCATTTCTTTGGAACCCCTCTTCTTCTTTTTTCCAGGGGAGTCCAAGGCTGCGGCGAAGGGAAGATGCTTGGAGTTTGTCTGGGAGGTAGCAGGGTGTGGAGAGGGCAGTCAGGAAGAGAAGGGAAAAGCTGGGACTGTTTGATCTCAGGCATTTAGAGTAGCTCACTGGGACAGATCTGCCTGGGAAGAGTAGGGCACCGCATCAGATGCAGAGAAGGTGCGGTGGGAAGGGCCCGGGGGGCTGGGTCAGCATCACAGAGATGCTTGTCGTCAGTCAGAATCAGGCCTGGGGAAATGACTGTGTAGGGTCTCGAGCTTGTTTCAGTGTGTTCCAGATCACAGGGGCTGCTGGGAGGCCAGCGAGTGTGCGCAGACATGCACAAGCATGTGAACATGTGCAGGGGGGGAGATCACGCAGGGGCACATGTGTGTGAGACAGAACAAGTGATGCACACACACACACAGCCCTCTCTCTGCACGGAGAGCACTCCAACACTGAAGCAATGCCAGCTGAGCGTCATCCAGTGATGCATCCCCGTATACACCCCTTTTTAGTCAAAAACTTCTCCTCCATTAACCTATACAGACTTCCACAGCATTAACAGAGCCCCTCTGGGAAAGGTGACTCACAAGGAAAAAAAACCCTGGCTCATGCCCCTTTATGATGGATGAGGTGGGGAAGGGATGAAAAAAAATGAAATATATGGGGGCAGTGGGGGAAATATTCTGGTTAGCTTTTTACACTAAGGTCATTATGATAATGATTTGTATTGTGGTAGTACCTCTGGGTTCCCGGTTGGACCGATGCCCCATTGTACTAGATGTTGCACAGATATCAAACAAACATCAAATAAAAGCCAAATAGCTGCCTAAAGGGCTGGAAATCTAATTCAGCTCCTCTCTGGGCTGAAAGACTCAGCGCCTGGAGAATGAGTGAGACACCAACATCACCAGAGAGAAAAAAATGAGCAACCGAGAGAGGGAAGAGACTTTCCTCCTCCCCTTAGCCAATCTTCTTGTGAACAGCTATTTAACTTTGAGGGCTAATAACACCCTGGAGAAAGGAAGTTATTGTTAAAGATGTGCCTCTCCTGACGTGCCTCAGCTCACAGTAAACACCCAGAGAGCCCCCAGCCATAAAGGATGGAAAAGCAAGGAGAAGCCGATAGAACGACTGCAGCGTTTCGATGTGCTCAGCTCCCGAACAGGCGCCTTCGGGAGATGGGACAGTGCAACTGCAAAGCTCTTTGGGAGCTTCCACCTGTACTGATGCCCCTACATGGGTGTTGAGTAAATCCGGCTCCAATTCGAATGCTAACCAATCAGGAACCTGTCCCTGAGCTCTTTTTAATATTCCTGATGGTAAAAAAGAGGGAGAAAAAACCCAAAAAGGTTTGACTGGGAGGGACGGGGGATGACACCAACTGGGATTGTGGCTTTCCACCATCATAAAGAAGCAGGGCTAAAAGCACGTCAGCTTTACTATAGATGCCCCAACTGATATTGCCAATTAACAGAGACCCTCATTAAACCCAGGGCCTCTACCACCCCACCCCCATCCTATGTTTTAAATACAAAGGCTTCCTGGAAATGCTCCTCCCCCCTCCCTTAAAGCATCATCATAACTTAAGACATAAATATAATTCCTACGCTTCTTGATTAAATATGCTGGGGATAAGGCAGGAAGGTGGGAATTTCCCCTGGGGTCTTTGCAGCGTGACTCGCGGGCCCTTCTGGGCACAGCGGTTGGAGGAGAACGGCTGCTTTCAGGTCCTCACCCCCGGACCCCCGACTCCTCTGGCTTGGCTGCAAAGGTTCTGGGGAATTGAGGGCCTGATCCTGCCTGTGGCTGAGAAACAGGATCCAGCAGAGCACTCGCTGCGCCCCAACCACAGGGCTGAGACCCCTTTGGCTTTCCAGTGTGCTTTGCAGGACAGAGCCCACAATGGGTGGCACCAGTTGGGGGAGACAGCATCTCCCTGCCCTGCCCTTGGCACTAGCTGGTGTAGACACCTCCAATGTCTCTCCCAGAGACCCTGTCCTGGAGGGCGAGGGGCTGAGGGTGCCTCTTCACGGCAGCATGTTCAAATTGCAGGCACCAAGGTCGTCTGACTCTTTCTGAGCCTCATCGGACCCCAAGCTGGGGACGAGGGGCAAGGACTAGGGGACGATCCCATCACTACGCCCACCCCTGCAGCAGCACAGGAGCTGCCAGTGCCCCAGGAAATAAATTATCTTGGGGGGGAGGGGGGAATTAAAAAAGGGAAGAAAAGGAGGAGAAGGAAGAGCCGGAGGAGACCCTCCGGCTTAGATCTCCAGCAAGCTGCTCTGCTCAGGGCTGGTGGTGTCCTTGTCATCGCTGGCTAAGCCCTCCTGCATGGTGGCACTGGGCGAGCCCCCAGCGGCCGTCTCCTCCCGCTCAGCCTCCCCCTCGGGGGGCTTGGTGGCCCCCATCTCAGTGTGGGTCTTCTGGTGCTTGCTGAGGTGGTCGCTGCGCGTGAACCTCTTGTTGCAGAGCAGGCAGGTGAACTTCTTCTCTCGGGTGTGGGTGCGGACGTGGCGCTCCAGCTCGTCCGAGCGCGTGAAGCGCTTGCCGCAGAAGAGCCAGTTGCACACGAAGGGGCGTTCGCCCGTGTGCCAGCGCAGGTGCGCTTTCAGGTGCGAGGCCTTGCCATACACCTTCCCGCAGCCTGGGATGTGGCAGCTGTGGATGGGCTTCTTCCGGAGGCTGGCAGCCGAGGCACCCAGGCGCTCCAGCTCCTGGCAATTGGGGCAGTCGCATGTTGAGCGGCCGGTGGTGCCCCCAAAGGAACCACCGCGCGGGGCCTTCAGTCCAATCCCGCTCTCCATCAGGGAGTTGTTGGCCACCGGCTTGGGCTTGTACATCTCCTGGGACAGCATGTGCTGGCTGGAGGGGAGTAGGTGGGAGGAGGAAGTGATGCCCACTGCCGGGTATGGGGCAGGATTCAAGGGGGTGAAGTCGGAGCTGTAGCTAGGCAGCTGGGGGCTGAGGGAAGACTGGGTGGGCATGGACTGGAGGGAGCCCTGCAGGCCATCTGACTGGGGCTGGGTGCTCAGCCAGTTGGTGTTGGAGTGCATGTCCCACCAGGAGGCCGTGGCATTGCTGGAGCTGCCCGAGATCCCGGGGTGGATGCCAGTTTTGTACCAGGAGCCATAAGGATGGGTCATGTCTAAGGAGGTGTAGACGCTGGGAAGGCAGTCGGCCGAAGGGTGTCCCTTGGAGACCAGGAGGGACGATGGGTCCTGAGAGCTAGAGGAGGTCGGGAAGGAGTGGGAGAAGGGGCTGTAGTCATTGCCGTAGGTGGTGGAAGCCTGGGGGCTGGTGGAAGGCGACATCAGGCCATTCCCACTGGGGAAGGCAGCGGTGTAGGACTCCCCCATGGCCTCAGAGCCGCGGACTTTGGGCACAGAGATCTCGGCACCCAACTGGTACAATTTCTTTCCTGGATTTCCCCCTGCTTTCCCTGGAGTGGCCGAATCCCGGATTGGACTCGAGCCTCCGAATTTATTGCAGGTGGCTGTCAGCATAGCCAGTGGGCTAGAGCCATAGTGGGCTTCTTCCTGGCGGAGGAGAGAAAAGAGGATAAGGCGTCAGCATAGGAAGGCAAGACTGCCGCTTTCGGTTTGGGGTGGGGCTCTATAAGGGACAAGGCAATTAAAGCACATTGTCACTGGGGACGGGAGATGACCCATAGCTAAAACAATCAGAGCAGCAAGATACTGCCTGCCTGGCAGAGCATCTGATAGCACTGTGGCCTCAGTGCTGGGAACCAGTGCTTTCCTCTTGCCAAACCCCAGCTCTGCCACTGACTCCTAGTGGGGACTTAGGCATGTCACTTCCTCATCCCTTGCCTTAGTTTCCTCTGCTGGAAAGGAGTGATGCCAGTTTACCTCCCTGCCAACGCAAGCATCATGAGGGCTCATAAGCCCTCATGACACCATCAGTGCCACATGATCAAAACCCATGACTCAGCCACCCCCAGAAAAACACACAATGGATTTAAAAATCAAGAAGCTTTACGTATTTAGGGCCTCTGGTATTTGCCTCTGGTTCTTGACCTTTGAGCAGGGTCAGATTTGCTCCACGGCTATGCAGGCGACACATTCAATTGGGACGGGGTGGTAGTGAAAGCTGAGTTTTGCATGTTATGCCCATGATGCCAGGAGCTGGGGCTTGAGGACAGATGGCCCCTATTGCCTGATTCCTGAAAAGCTCACAAGAGCTGGCAGCCAGCCGAGAAGGGCCCAAACCTGTTTGGCCCCTTGTCTCAGCACCTCCAGGCCTTTGGTGCACTGAGCCAAAAGGTGCTTTGATGACACAGGGCATTAGACAAACAGGAAACTAAGGCATAAGGGCCCCGCTCATCCAAGGTATTTAGGCACCTTACCACTGTGAGGAACTACCAGATTTTTAAAGGTATTTAGGTCTGCAGGATGCCTGGTGCATTTTTCCAAGTGCCTGAGTGTTTCAACCCCAGAGAAGCCAATGCTTTGGAAAATCCCACTCAACACCGCTCTACAGCTCCAGTCATTAAAATATCCAATGATTAAAATAGGTGACTTGACCAGGGCTACACAGTGATCCTGTAGTAAAGCAGGGAATTAAAATTGGGTGGCACCTACTTCTTTCCAAATGAAGCCCCTACCTCGGGTGGCCATCACGGAGGACAGTCCAGTTGTCCTCTATCCTCTATTGATACGAAACTGGACGCCTTTCTGTCCTCTATTGAATCTATGAATCTATTTTTTTCTTGAAGAGAAAAATAGAGGACATAAAGGCGTCGGGTTTCGTATTGATAGAGGCCAGAGAACAACCGGACTGTCCTCTATGATGGCCACCCCACCCCGACCCCTTCCCTTGTAGACTTTGGCTTGAACTCTGAACTCAGAGCAGAGGCACCATATTCCTGTCCTGACCCTTGTGTCTCTCCTGGGCTCAAACTGTGGCACGGTGGAAAGTGCTTATTGCTATTTCTGCAGTGGATTTAAAAGGAGCAGTTTTGCCCCAGGGAATTCCTGTGTTTTTGGCATGTGTTTGTGTCTGGAAATATCAAAGGGCTGGGGTTGCCTCCCCAGACAGTGGCTGCCATGTGCTCCCTGCCTCTGAGGCTGCAATGCATTGTGGGAGTTGTAGTCCCACCAGGCACCTGCCTGGCAAGGGGAATGAGGGCACAAGGTGCCTGAACTACACCATGATGGCTCAGGCTGACTCCCCTTCAGGCCAACTAAAATTACTTCTAATTTTGGTTTTTTTTTGTTTTTTTGCCAAATTGACATTGGCCCTAAAAATTTTCACTTTTCTCCTCACTTTTCCAAGAAAGTGAGAGTTACCGGCTAGCTCTTCTTGGTTCACAATAGCCATGTACCCCTCAAAAACCTTTCACACTAGGGCACATCAGGTTTTCCAAGGGGCCTATATGAATTAGGCACTCAGCGCCCAGAGATATATGCTTTGTGGGGAACTTAGCCGGTCACTAAAAAAGACGAGCTGGGAGTTGTGACTAAACGCAAAGCTTTAGCTTCGATTTTCTGGGGCCTGACTCATGGCTCTCCAGCGGTTGGCGCTGGCCCTGCAGCACGGAGGCCCCTTTGAAAATCCCGACCTTCAAAAATGCATATACATGACTCATCGCTGCAAGGAGTCGCTCATGGGTTTTCAGGGCAAGAAAGGGACCATTAGATCATCCAAATTCCTCCATAAAACAGACCAAAGAATTTCACTCAGTTGCCCTTGTCCTGTGCCCAGTCGCCAGACTAAAGTCTAGTCAGCCAGAGGCCAGGAGGAGAAAAGGCAAGGCATGGAGGATAAGGAAAGTCTGTGGTGCAGATGGCTTTGAGGAGACTGCTGCAAACAGCACCCACTAAAGAGCAGAAAGTGCTTATACATCTGGCAGCTGGGACCGGAGACAAGTTGGTTAGAGGGAGAGGTGGCAGAGGAAAGGAAAGGCATTCAGGGTTCATCTGGGGCTATGGCAGGGTGGCCATCATAGGGGATATTCCAGTTTTCTGCTACTCTGTCTTCTGCCCCCTATTGATATGCAACCCGATGCCTTTATGTCCTCTATTTTTCTCTTCAAAAGAAAAATAAAGGACATAAAGATGTCCGGTTTCATATCAATAGAGGACAACCGGACTGTCCTCTATGATGGCCACCCTAGGCTACGGCCAGCTCCCTGGTCAGCCACTGGAGGGATGCTCCAAGCTGCTGCTCTTGAGCAGCCTGCAAACCTGAGCCTTGAGCGTGGTCCTGGGGCACCTCTTAGGGAGCCCTCCCCATCTCACTGCCAGGGTGGATACAGGCAGGGTAGGCATAGGGTTGCCAACCCTCCGGGATTGCCCTGAAGTCTGCAGGAATTTGAGATAAATCTCCAGGAGACTACTGAGAGTCACCTGGGAGATAAATGATAGGGCACTCATTAAAATAGGCATTAATGTCATTACATCATGCGATAGATTCAAACAGCTAGTGACCCTAGGTAGGAAATCAAGTCATTAATGTCATTGCATCATGTGATGGATTCAAACAGAGCTGGCAACCCTAGGTAGGCACCAGTGAGGTTTAGGTCAGAAAAGAAACTTTGAAACCATGAGCCGATGGAGCAAGCTCTGTCTGGATGCCGAAGCACTATGTTGAGGAGGTGTGAACTCTCTGAGCAGGGGCACACAGGGGGCAATCCCTAGTGTGGGTCAAACTTGGAAGAGGCCTGCCATTATGTCTCACTCAGCAGCAGGTATTTAACCCAGGTATCCATACAATCTTTTCTCCAATGCCTAAGGAAGTGTGTTTGTGCCTGAAAGCTTTCAATTAAAGATTTTTTTTCCCCAAAAATCTTGTTGGTCTAATAAAAGATACCATCTTTACTACGAGTCCTGATTGATATTTACCCCAGACTTTCAGGGATGGAACTGGGAGGTGTGAATCCCACACTGAGCTGAGCTTTCCACCAGAGCTTGATATCCTGGATGATTAGTATCTAGGTTGAATGAACCTCACGCTCAGCCTCACCTGGCTTGGCAAGATCCTTCCTGCTCTAAAAATAATTTATCTTCAAGGCAAGCTCAGCCAGAGGCTTCTTGGGGCAACTGAACAGAGCAATGGCACAGGGCTTGGGGGTATCTACAGGTTTATGTCCATTGCAGCACAAGTACTTGGAATTTGGAGGCAACCAAATTGCTCCCTGGGGGCGAAGCAAAAGGCAGGGCAAAAAAGAGCTGACCCAGCCCATCACCCAAAGGCAAGCAGATCCAGGAGCATCCCATCAAATGAGTCATCTCCCAGCCACCCTACTTGTCTTGCCCTTGCTCCCTACTCTGGTCCGCTGGCACCTCTCAATCCTGCTGTCCCAGTGTCAGCTGTCTCACTCAGCTCTGCAGATGCCCCTTGAACCAGGCTTTCAGCTTCCAGTTCTTATCTGAGGCCCAGGACACACACACACACACACACACACACACACACACACACACACACACAC